CTACACAGAAAAAATCGAAATAAAGTCTAGCATCACATAAGTCTGCATTGCCTGCAATGAACATATCCCACTAAATTCGAGGTCGTAAGACTTGACGGAGAACACCTATGATACAAGATCGCCGGTGGAAAACGAATACCGTTCAAACGAAGATAATAATAATAATAATAATAATAATAATAATAATAATAATAATAATAATAATAATCCAATAACATATCTGTTTACCACATATAAATTGATTACATTTCGGCCTTGTGCCACATCTAAGCTATGCTTGGAAAATCACTATAAATTGATCACGTCTGACAAACTGTACTTACTCTCTTCTCCATAAAAATAACCACCATAAAAGTAATTTTCTTCACCTGCTACATGTCGAAGAGTTTTATATGGTTGAAAAGAACAACTACTAATAAATAAAATGATCCTAGAAAATTGCAGGAAAACAGGTAGAAATTGCAGCACAGCCTGGATAAATTACCATAAATACTTTGAGAGTTTGATACACTCTTAGATCTTTAAGGTTTTTGGAATGTAGGAAGTCTCCACGGTGGTAGTAAATTTCCTTAAATATAGCAGGAAACTGTGCAAAACCACATTATACCTAAATCTCATCAAATGTACTGCCACTTTCTATTGTTTCGATATGTGACGAGGAATCTTTCAAGAGACACCCTTCCGTTCTGTCTGTCCTTAATTTCTACTTTACATGAACTAAACTATAGATAACTATAGATAAAAATTTAAAAAAAGAAAGTGTTTAATCACCTATTCTACATGTATGTTATCAATCTCTTTGCTAAAAACAACAATGTGTTGAAGGGTATCCATAATATTATAAAATGCTTCAGTGATGACATCGGTATGGATTTCGATTAGGATAAGTGGGCAAAAGTAACATTGAAGAAAAGAAGAATTATAGAAACACACTCAATAGATCTACATTTTTTGTCACGAAGTTTAGCAAACTAGAACAAAAAGTAGCCTCTAAATACCTAAGAGTCAGCGAAGGAGATGAAATACAGCATACCCAAATTCAGGAGAAAAATAATACAGGTGTGTGCATCTGGTGTTAAATTCACAAAACAGAATATCAGCCATAAACACTTTGCCTGTCCCTGTGGTGAAATATAGTTTCAACATCCTTAATTGGAAAATAACTAACATTAAGCGAATGGATGTCAAAACGAGAAAGCTTCTCATTTTCCACCGCATGCGTCATCCTAAGGCTGATGTTAATCCTCCGTACGCACCCAGATCCGAAAGAGGCAGAGGATTAGTTCAACTATGATTAGTACAACTTAGTTCTTACAAAAACAAAATAATCGGTCTTCAAAGATACACGGAAACTACAGAAGACTTGATGTTGATCTGTGTCAAAGAACACGAAAGAGATAAGAATTTTTCTTCAGTAATAAAGGAAGCCAACAAATTCAAAAGGGAATTTCAAGTGGATGAAAAAGTGAAAATAAACCATAGTACATCTACTACAGCAGCGAAGAACCTAACAAAAGAAAGCAAAAGCAAATGCAATGTACCAAATCCAGCAACGCTTGCAAGAGAAGCCTCTTAATGGTCAATACTCTGCACGTACCAAACAAATTGATGTAGACATACCCCGTAGCCATCAGTGTTTACGTAGTGCAGGATTAAAAGCTGAAACTGAAGGTCGAATTATTGCTTACTAGAAATTACCAAGTACACATACTAAAAAATTTGTTAACCGTAAATGCAGATTCTGTGAAATAGTTGACCTTCTTGCACCATGTTAGCACCCAGTCAATATAAAACTCAGAATGTTTGGTCAATATCACCTGTGCAAATTATGCAAATTTTACGGTAATAAAACTTCAAGAAACTGGTCATCTCGCAGACCCGGTTCCAGAGATAGGATCTGTAACAATTTTAAAAGGCTTCACTATACGAACGGACAGAAAAATCAAAGTTAATCGCACAGACATTTTGATCAAAGACCACAAAAGCAGAAGGTGTTTTTCTTATAGACATGGTCGATTCCGGAAGATTGTAATGTAGCAAAAATTCTATCAAAATACAAGGACCTCAAAAATGTGACACATGATGACATCAGTAATTCCAGTTGTAGTTGGAGCACTCGGATTGACTGGAAATAGTTCCAATAGACTCATTGATGGGATCCCTGATAGCTAATACCTTATAGAAATACAAAAAAGTGTATTCGCAATTACAACTCACACATTACGAAGAGCTTGATCTATATAAAACGTGTGTGATCGTAATTTTTTTTTAACAAAAAATGACCAGTAGAAAATGTCATGAAGCCATTTCTAATCTTAGGTCTCTGAATGGGATGCAGAAAGATATGTGTATATAACAGAAATCCAAGAAAATAATAATAATAATAATAATAATAATAATAATAATAATAATTTTTTCTTTTTTTTGGCAGTGGAAAGTGTCATGATGCCATTTCTAATCTTAGGCCCCTGGGCGGGACCCGGAAAGAAATGTGTAAACACCAGAAATCAAAGAAAATAATAATAATAATAATAATAATAATAATAATAATAATAAAAATAAAAAAATACACCCTGTTTAGACAATTTTGAAGATACTTGTAAAAATGTCGGTGTTTGAAATGAGGCTGGATGAGTGTAATCTTTAGAAGTCCTTCGTAAATGATCAATTCTTTTTTTTTTGATTATTTGAGATCATCGCAAACTAATCTGAATATGAATAGAACTATCTAAATGATAATCTTGTCCGTTTTGTTTAGTGAAAGCCTGCAAAGACACTGTTGCCTGTTGTTGTCATTCAACGTCACTCGCTTGTAACTTTCTCTTGTTGCATCACATTTTTAAATGTAAAAACACAAAGCCAATACTCGCCTCTTACACTCAGCGGTAAGACCAACTACCTGTGGAAATCGAGGTTTTATTCAAACGCTGCATTCTTTTTATTCAATCTTATTTTGACGTCGAACCAATAGTTATTATGAGACTTGTCAAGTATCTAATAACTCCACTTTGGAAACAAACTATATGAGATTATAGAATTTCAGCTTTAGACTTTCCTCTGACAAAATCCTACAAAACCCGGAATATTTAAAGAGATTGGATTAAAGAAGATCTTATTGAAAGTCTATCGTTATCTAAATCTCAATTTGCAAAAAGGTATAACTCCTGAATGGAGCAAGGAAGATTGCTTTAAGTGGGGTCAGCCTGACTTGAGAGCACGCTTTCCCTTTGACACTGATATTCTTGCACGAGCAGACGTCTGTGTTTTTATTTCTTTCTAATTCTTTTATGACTTTTAAGCATTAACTATTGGTAATCCACTAAGGAGAAGGAAAGGTGGAGTAATGGATATCGGCTCGGATTGAGAAATCTGTAGATTCGAATTCCATTCGAATCCATTACTTTCACTTACGTGCTAATACCATTGGGAAAGGTATGAATCCTTTTCTTAAGTATGGGAAAATAGCAGATAAGACAGAGTTCTATAGCTTTTGAAATGGCTACCGCAGAAAGAAATGACAACCTACTGCAGGAAAAAAAAATCTGTCTCGTCAGTCATGTATCGAAAGATACATGATCGCCTAAGTGTGCATCACACATGGTACATGAGTGACTGAATCCACTAATAATCCATGTGTGGTTTACATGCAAAGATCAAAATCTTTTCTGTTTTCTCATGGCCTCGAACATCGATCAGTGGTGACAGTAAAATATTCGTATATACTTCTGGAATTGTCAGAGGTCGTTTATTGTCCCAGTCGGAGTGTTGGTCTCTATACCAATGTTTCTCAACCTTATTCTGGTCGTGGCTTCATTCAATCTATTTAAGGAAGTAGGGATATTAAAGGTTGCAGTATAGAGTCTATACCATCGAAATTAAAGTCCTACACAGGGAAAATTATAATAAACTCATCGCTTCAGAAGTCTGCGTTGCCTAGCACTGCAACTATTTCCGAAAAGTTTCCACAATATTTTTAATCCGTCCTAGGTATAACGATAAACTACATCCGTGTCCTGGGTAAGATGATAAACTATATCTGCGTCCTGAGTAAGACGATAAATTACATCCGAAAGCAAGGCCTCTGATCAGGAGGTTTTGAGGAGGGTAGAGCCACCTCTTAATTGCTGGTGTTTCCAGGTTCATCCTGACCCGGAGTGGAAGCACCTGTTAAGGTCCCAGCTATTGGCAAATAATTAACCCCTAAACTGGGGTCAGAACACTATGAAAGTGTAAAAATAGGTTTTAGTACCAGCAATATTTTTTTGTAAAAAATTATTACCAGCAATGAATTTTTGAAGAAAAAACATTATTACCAACAATACATTTTTGAATAATAAAATTACCAGCAATAAATTTTTGGAAAAAAAAATATTACCGTCAATATATTTTTGGAAAAAATATTATCAGCAATAAAAATCGTGTCGGCATGAAATAAGACATTAAGGTTGATATACCGTAAAACAAACCAAACAACAATATAATTTAATATTTAGAGTCAACTTTTATTTATATATATTTATAAAACAGCTGTCACTTTGCAAGAAATCTCAAACTTTCCACTTTCTATTTGAATTTAATTCCCGATTATCTTATTTTTAATGCTGTTCACACAATACAAAGCCTGGGAGCCACTTAAGATAGTGTTTTACTGAATAATGCTGGTAGTATCGATTGAGTTGTAAGGAAAGTATGATTTTTAAAAAGAATTATACTTGAATTATTTATCTTCCTTTTAAACTTGACTGCTTGTGGCACGTTGGGTCACTGACTGTTCAGGTTATAAAACATTGTTGTTGGTTTCAAAATTAAAATTGTTGTCAGTTTGAAGAAGGTTGAATAAACCGTATAAACAAGACGTGTTTTTAAATTTTATTCACTTAAAATGTTTTTTAAATGAGATTAAATTAAACATATTCTTTTAATATGGCAAAAAATATTTTTTTGAAATATTTAAAATATTCTTTAAAGAAAGCTGAAAATATAAATAGACACACACGCAATCAGAGAAAAGTGACGTGAGAGGTGGAAAGAGAGAGAAGTGATGAGAAAGAGATGGAAATAGAGAGATAGAAAGAGAAGGGTGGGAAGAGAGAGAGAGAGGTGGTAAGAAAGAGATGGAAATAGAGAGATAGAAAGAGAGAGGTGGATAGAGAGAGAGAGGTGGTAAGAAAGAGATGGAAATAGAGAGATAGAAAGAGAGAGGTGGATAGAGAGAGAGAGGTGATAAGAAAGAGATGGAAATATAGAGATAGAAAGAGAGAGAGGTGGTAAGAAAGAGATGGAAATAGAGAGATAGAAAGAGAGAGGTGGGAAGAGAGAGAGGTGATAAGAAAGAGATGGAAATAGAGAGATAGAAAGAGAGAGGTGGGAAGAGAGAGAGGTGGTAAGAAAGAGATGGAAATAGAGAGATAGAAAGAGAGAGAGGTGGTAAGAAAGAGATGGAAATAGAGAGATAGAAAGAGAGAGGTGGGAAGAGAGAGAGGTGATAAGAAAGAGATGGAAATAGAGAGATAGAAAGAGAGAGGTGGGAAGAGAGAGAGGTGGTAAGAAAGAGATGGAAATAGAGAGATAGAAAGAGAGAGGTGGGGAAGAGAGAGAGGATAAGAAAGAGATGGAAATAGAGAGATAGAAAGAGAGAGGTGGAAAGAGAGAGAGAGGTGATAAGAAAGAGATGGAATGAGAGAGGTGGAAAAAGAGAGATATGGTAAGAGGTAGATTGAAATAGAGAGGTGTAAAGAGACAAGTGAAAAGGGAGAGAGGCGGTAAAAGATAGATTGAAATAGACAGGTGGAAAGAGAGAGAGGTGGAAAGAGAAAGAGGTGGTAAGAGAGAGAGAGAGAGAGAGAGAGCGAAGGGAATAGAGAGATGTAAAGAGACAGATGTGGTAAGAGAGAGAAGTGGAAAGAGAAAGAGGTGGTAACAGAGAGAGAGAGAGAAGGGAATAGAGAGATGTAAAGAGACAGATGTGGTAAGAGAGAGAGAGATAGGTGGAAAGAGACAGAGGTAGTAAGAGAGAGATGGAAATAGAGAGGTGGTAAGTGAGATATGGAAAGAGAGAGGTGAAAAGAGAGAGATGTAAAGAGAGAGGTGGAAAAGAGAATGGTAGTAAGAGAGAGATGTAAAGAGAGAGGTGGAAAAGTGAATGGTAGTAAGAGAGAGATGGGAATAGATGGAAAGAGAGAAGTGGAAAAGGTGGAGAGAGAGAAAGAGATGTGGAAAGCAACTTAAATCATTAATCGACAGACGGCATACCGATCTCAACAGAGAGTAATGAGAAAATCTGTTGGTATGGTAACATGATGCATGCTTGACATCACCCAAAGTGATCAAGCGTCGTGTTACCATTACATCGGAATTTTAAAAGTATAAAAAAAAAAAAATTATATACGTCAATTGTTATTTTTATTTGCAGAGAAAAAAATCACCGACTTACCTAGAATGCTTTTACTGATCGGTTACAAACAGCTTTGCAAAGTTCCATTTGGCCTATAAAGCACACTCTTTCGTCCACATCTTTCTGGCGACACATACCTGCTCAGTTCCGTATTAGAAACGTATACGCAAACAAATAACTAAAGAATTCATGGATTTTATTTTTTCTAATAAGTAAGTTTACTTTAAAGGCAAAACTGGAACCTCATATTATTGTGAATCTCACCATGGCCGAGCGGTAAACTACGCTGTTTGACTTTAATAAGTTTTCTTTTTTTATTTTTCATTAATGATGGTACTGCTATTTTAACCTTTTTTATATTTGGCCACTCAGACATAAAAAAAGTGAGTTACTTTTCAATCACCCTGTATATGTCCAAAACATTATATTTTAGTGGGTGCATATGTTTGGGTTGACGAACCGTTTTTTTTCAATGAGAATTATATTTACCAGCTTGTTTGAGAAACGTTATTAAGAAAATTGTGCTTTCTGGTAGGGTCCGAAACCGCGTCCCTGTTTCTATGGAAAACGGTGTGATTTCGCCCGCTCGGTCAGAGACCGCTTCACCGCATTGCGAAATTCATTTAGCTTTTAAAGAATGCAAATCTTCTTAAAATTTTTCTTGAAAGCCCTTATCTGCTCGAAAAAAATTATCTACTAACTTTATTTTCATATCTGCAACGTAAAAAGATTTAAAAAGAATTAATGATGTCAAAAAAAAATGTTTCTTATTGCATTGAACATTATATTTTTGCGAATACATGTGTTTGATTGAAGCCTTTAACAGTTTGTATTATATCTACCGGCTTATACACTCAAAAGTCTTAATAAAGAGATTGTATCTTCCAGCAAGATTAGAACCTGCGTTCTCCTTTCTCCATATATGAAAAGATAGGACACTATATATAAATTATGATATATATATATATATATATATATATATATATATATATATATATATATATATATATATATATATATATATAACATTGTATATATAAGAAAGTGGGCTTTTGTTGAACAGTCAGATGTCAGTTTACCTGGAAAGAAATAAAGCAGTTGTTAAT